TTGTCCTTAATCCGGGAAGCTAGTCCCACTTCCATCTCTGCCTTGGCCTTCCTAACTACCCACCTACATCCCCGAGCAACTGCAGAATAGCCCTCCTTGGTGATGACCCCTTCTTTCCATTGGGTGTAGGCCACCTTTTTAGCAAGGAGACATTCCCGGATGCTTTTGGTGAGCCATGGGGGCTGTGGGACATAGTATCAAAAGCCTTCCTAAAGTCCAGGTATATGTCCATTGGTCTTTCCACATCCACAGAGCCAGTCATCTCATCCTAGAAGGCAATCAGGTTGGTCGGGCATGACTTGTCTTTGGCGAATCTGTCCTGACGGTTCCTAATCACCGTCTTCTCTTCTGAGTGCTTAGAAATGGATTCTTTGATGCTACATCACTTTGTAGCTCTACAGAAATACAGTGCTGGGGGGAACTCACATTCATAGCTCCCTGGCTGGAGCATTACAAAATTGCCACAAAGAGATGCTTTCTAGCCAGGGTGTGAAAGGGATTTGCTCTGCTTCCCCCTGCTTGCTTCTACAGGGAAACCTGCCAGCGAGCCCTATCACTGACAGCCTGCTGTTCCCTCTCCCATCAGAGAAGGGGGACTGGCAGGCTACCAATGATCACCCAACAGCTAGTCTCTGACAGTGTGGGCAGCAGTGGTTTCTGCCCCCTCTGCTGCTGGGGTAACAGCAGTGTGATGGTAGGGACTGAGGAGCAGAGCTGACAGCCAGGTGTGGAAAAGGAGGGCTGTCACTGTGAGATGCTGCTCTGGTTTGGGAGCTGTAGCTCTCCTTGCTGCCGGCCACCCCTGCAGGCATGGGGAGCTCTTGGTTGCTGCTCCCCCGGAGTCTGGAGCAAAGGTGGCTTTGGTGAGGAGTGCCCACTGCTGCCCTGCTGCTCTCCCTCTCCTGCCCTCCTTGGAGGAGTGGGGGAGAGTGGAGGACTGGGGATGCCAGATGAGCAAGAGAAACCTCCTGTAGTGCTACACCTAACTGTACAAATGTTACATGTTCTGCTACAAACAAAGTGCTATAGAGCAATTCCTAGTGCTTGCAGCACTCCAAGGGCATGGATGGCACCTCAAATACAATGTCTGCTCTTGAGCATCTCTTGCAGGAGAAAATGTGCTCAAATGATCACCTGCAAAAACCTCAAATGTATACAATGCCTTTAAGAAGACCTTGAAGTGGCAGCCTGATCCAAACACAGAAATGGTCCCAGTTTTAAATAAAATGGATGTTCAGCTTTATCATATTCCTTTCCCGTCTTATTTCCCTGTGACATGCTCCTTGCACAGGCTGTGATTTGTCACTCATTGTCCACAGCTGCTTTGGCCATAAGAACATGATTTCAAGGCTATAGCATAACTTGGACATGGTAAATCCCATCTGCACTGAAATGCCAAGCCTATGTCACGTTGTGGGCATTACTGTCCTGTAGTTGGAATCCTGAAGATGGTTATGCAGGGAAGGGGTCCTGAACAGTTCAATAAAATAAAAGGTTGGAGAAACATACATTACAGGCTTAGGCAGAAACCAAGAAGAATTGTGAGGACTTCAGTGATGCCTGCACGCTAGACATCGGTGCCTGGCTCATATGTGAAGCTGGCCCTCTGTGTATCAGAAGTCAAATTTAGGGATCAGCATTGACTCTGTGCTATATTATATCTGCTGTTTAAGAAAAGCCAATTTCAGTGAGATCAAATACACAAGGCGTAATGGTTTGAGATATGGAATCGTTTCTTTGAACCTGACAGTGAAGTGTGATTTTATAGCTCTGGGAAAAGGAATGAGGAAAGAGGCCAATGTGTTTCTGTTGTGCGGCACTGGTGTTTTTGAGGTACATACAGCGCTCACAGCACGTATAAGGAGACAAAGCAGGCCCAGTCTCCAGTACATGCTCTTGAACTGTATGTTAGCTCACAGAGTGGGTGGGCAGTAATCTTGAGGAGAGGTTTTGATGTCACTTTAACCTACCACCGTCTTCACCCCAGTCCAAAATTACAGCAACATCCCATCTAGCATGTTCACTGTCTTATCTGATCCGGTCTCTGAATTCACCACGGTTAATCATTGTTACCAAGCCTTGATGCAGGTAACTAAAGAACATAGCCAGGGGGTTCTAAGCCTTGGTGTTTTCAATACAAAATCTGGCCACTTGCTGGTAAAATCAGCCAGATCCCTATTTCTGCTGGGAGCTTTGCTCCAGGAATGTAGTGTTTGGTAGGGCTTCATGCTCAAGATGTCATGTCCAATTTTTATGCATTAATATCCACTTCTGAACACTGAAAATGTTACTTTGCCTAATGTATGAGCAGTGGTGGTGAGAGAGAATATTATTTGAGCGGGGGGGCTAAGGGTGCAGGGGACAGTACAGAGTGGCGCAGGGCAGTACGGGGCCACCTCCCTCCTGTACGGCTGTTGCAGGGCCAGTGCATGCTGGGGGTGCTGGGTGCAGTGCTACGGTGTCACAGTGGAGCGGTGGAGCTGCGTTGAGGGAGCTAAGCCCTGTTAGGCCCGGTCTTCTGCTGCCTATGTGTATGAGCTATAATTTGCCTAAGAAGAAACATCATAAACTGGGAGCCCTAAGTAGACACTGTGGTACAAAACACAATGGACTGTAAAACTGTCACTGTGTATGAAAAAGACAAATTTATTAAGATCTAAATATTCACTCTGAGGCTACAGCAGAATAAATGCTGTTACAAACAAGTAAGCACTAGGGTCTAACAATTTATACTGCTGATAAACAGCTCTCTGGTCTCATAGGTCTGCATGTTTTGAAACACTTAATGTTCTTGAAGTAATTAGTCAGATGCCATTTTAATACAAATTCCACCAGAAAGGTACAATCAAATGCATCACCTGTGACCACTGCAAGATAATTCATTTAATCAGATAACTCCGGGAAACAGGCAAAACAAAAAAAAACAAAAAAACCCCCCTCAAAACATATACTTGTTAAATAGTAAGGTAAGTTTAGCAGCATTTCAAAAATTTGAAAGTCCAAAGGCTCTGTTAATCATGAAACCCTCAAATGCAACAATCTGAGGACTAGAGCCTATCCTGTGAGCATAAAATGAAGGGATGGAGAATCATTATTTATCTGTCCAGGAAATGGGATGTCCACAGTGTGCAAAAAACAAAGACAGACAAATGTGGGTAGCGTCATGGCTGTATTAACATTTATAGTTCAGCATCTGTTACCTCTTGGTTGTGCTGGTGGATTCCCACTTAGCCAGAGAGCCAGGTTAGGCTATATAGTGTAGGGAAAGCTGTGGATAAACTACAATTTCATGCACCTTGGGCTAGATTTTGGCTGTATATTTAGATCCTCTGTGCTGCTCCAACAGTTTTTGTGGTTGTAAAGGGACTGAAACTGCCCACAGCAGAATTACCAAGCTGTCCCTTAAAACAACCTAAACATAAGCATCTATGCAACTCCAAACACATGCTTCCATTCGGCATTTCTATGAACCAGAGCTACACTCATACCCATTGTTCAACCTAGAGAAAAGAGTCTAAAATGCTGCTTGCCGTTTTTAGCCAAAAATAATGATTCTATGTGGCTTGCTAAATAGCAGCGATAAGCAATCCCTTCTGGGTGATATAATTGATGATGGCTTTAGAGACAATGTAGATCCTGATTCAGAACCTGAATATGAACCAAAACCGTGAGTGAACTGACTTCCATGCAGCAATATTTGCAGCAGTGGTTTGTACACCTCCTTTGAAAGAGCCAGTTACAGCCTGATCCTTTAATGAACTGTGGAGGGACACTGATAGTTCTCTTAGCTTATCGCACCAATGAGAAGCCTACAGGAACGCAGGATCTGTCAAAAAGGCAAGCAGGCATCTGCACCCCCAAGCTCCTCTACATGACTGAATCAGCTCGGCACACTTGCATATGGTTACCGCTTTTTACCAGCCCCACAAAACAGCTTAAAGTGGCAGTTTTGAACCATGCTATGTTCCTACATACTGAAGCCTGAGTTCTTCCTTCTTTTTTTAGCAACTGCTAACCTGTTCTTGACCCCTCAGGTGAAGCACTCATGACTTATTGCCACTCACACTACCACCAGCATACTTCATCTGTTGACTGTCAACTCAAGGTGTGAACAACTGATCAGCTCCCATCCCCATCAGCATGGCACCTGTTCACTAACTCTGTTCTAATGGCTGTTGGGACAACTGCTGCCCAGCTGTAAGCATACTTAGGTTATTTCATGTGAGGCTTTTTGACTCCATAAGACAGCCAGCCTTTTCTTTAAACCACCAGTGAACAGCTAGTCTCTTCACAAGTGTTTCAAAGCCTATTTGAACATCATTCAAGAGGAGTGCACAGCAGGTAAGGCAGCACTGAAGTTGTATTTTACAATAGCAACTGTACTTTTGCAATTTTAAGGTATTTACCAGCTCCATCAAAGAAGAGGAACAAATATTTTTTAGATATAACTGATCCCTTGGACATAGACTCCTAAACATCAGCAATGCAATGCACTCAAAGGGACTGCTCACCTGTTAGAAGGGCAGTCCCTTTGGGTTCTTCAAATTGAAAACCTTTGCTGTTCAATACTGGAGTAACTCCAGGAGGAAATTAAACATCAGATCTTTCTGGCAATAGACGGGGATAATTCCAGTTTCCTGCTCAACAGCCCTTTCGTACTAGAGCAGCTTTCAATGATAGCATATGTCATGTCTGAGGCCAGAGATGCTGATGCACGGATGAAGCCTACAATCATTGTATTACAGAATAATGAGTTAGCGGAAAAGCACTTTGAAATAACTCAGGTATGAAAGGAGCTATCTAAAATCACATTACTCTAGTGTATAACTGACGATTACCCTGAAAGTCCCCTTACTCATTCTTAACAGTGCACAACATTAGATGGGATTTTTTAAACTTTGTTCTTGAAGCTGTGAGAGAGAGCCACTGGCCGTGCTCACAGCTCTCTCGAGAATCAGCAGTATTATTTGATTTTTAAAGAAAAATGCACTAAGATTGTAAAATAGCTGTGCACCACACTTTGGGGCTAGAATAGGGCTGTGCCAAAATAAGCAAGAGACTCTTAGAGAATTGTTCAATCACCCAGAGAGCTCAGTACAAAATTCCTGACATAAAATACTGAAGTAAAAAATTAATAAAAGAAACCACAAGGTTGTGTGATGGGAAGTGGACAGGTGTGGACACGAAGTAATGTTACTGAAACAAACTAGCAGCTCTAAGAGAATTAGACCCTTATGCAGGTGAGGTTTTTCAGAAGAACTAGTAGAGTTGTCCAGCTTGAGATTATAACAGTTTTCATCATTAAACCTGAGTGAATTTGGTTTGTTCCCAAAGACCCCTGGCTTCTCCATAAAGCACTGAAAATAAGGCAGAAATCATGCAAATCAGAACTGGGCTTCAAATTCTTCACCAGCATTATCTTACAGTGAATACTAACACTTTGTTTGCTGCAGATGGTGGACATATGCGAAACTCCCTTTTCCAAACTGTACTGAAGCCTGGGATGAGGTCTGATGACCTGTGCCGTTTCAGCATGTTTGGGGTAATCATTATATCAAGCTTTGAAATCTGATGGTCAGCGCAAGGGAAGAAAAATCTGAGGTACAAAGGAGGATCAAACTCTCTTAACACCCAGTTTTTCTGTTCAAAGGAAAACTGCATTGATTGTTACAGAACAGCACCTGATGCTGCTAATTTTTATGTCCCCTTCCCCCCACAACCTGGCTGGGATTCTAATACCAGTAAAACCAACCATAATATATATTTTTTCTTCTAAAAAAATATGCGCATGTTCCTTGCAAAGACACACAGTGGAAAAGAAAGCAAGAGGAGGCTTTCAGTCTTTTTTATCAAAGGCATCAATGTCTCTGTTGAACCTCAAATACTTCGCCTAAGGACAGGAAGGTAAAATAAAAAAATAGAAAGTGTGTTAGCAAATGCTCCCATGCAAAACTCTAAATTTTATTCACTTTTATTTATATATTCAACAATTCTAAAGTATTTACTTCTTGCTTTGACAAAAATGAAAAATATAGGAGCACTTTACTCTCTTTAGGAGAGAAGGGTTATATATACAGCTATGGAGAGATATCAGTTCCTCCTTTACATAAAAAGAAAAATAATATTAATAAAAAAGTGCTTCATTGATCAAAAAAGACTAAGAGCTGCAAGCATTTATTCACACTATACATCACAGACCCAAAAAACCCGTATCATAACCTCTTGGCACCTGTCATTAGGAACTGCAGAATCTTAGACTTAGTTTTGACTGTCTATTTGCACCACAAAACCACACCATGTTAGTGTGCAGAACTATACCATGTCCCCCAAAATCAGACTTCTAATCACAACCTCAATGGAAAAGCCAGAGTGATAGGAGCTGTGTATTACTCTGGTTCCTGTTCCAACTTTCTCTGTTTTACCTGAAATTGTAACATCTAGAGCAGTTCCAGGAACAATTGATTCTAGATACAACTCAAACGGGAGACCCTGTCTTTCTGTCTGCTCTTCCCTACCGATGATCTGAAAGTGTTTCAAAGCATGTACCAGGGAAAAACTCAAGGAGTCTTGTTACCAGCCCCTTTGTAATTTAAGTACATAGGCTGCTATGTGAAACAGCTTGAAACATTCATGTATGTCTTGTGAATCTTTAGCTTAACTCTACAGCAGTTTATGCTTCTTTCTCAAAGAGTGTGGAAAGTTCAGATGTCAAAAGTAAAAGGCCTTGACACTTCTTTCCCATTAGGTGCTACCAGACATTCTCTCTGTGTGAGCTTCACTCTAGGTGATGTTTTGATGCTTCACTAACAGCGAGTATCCATCTTGCCCAAGATCCATTATAATTCCTTGCACGTTAATACTAACAACTTTCAAATACTTCAGTGGGATTTGTTCTTTTTGAGAACATCAGAAGCAGAAGCTGTCACAACTTAAATGTGGACAATAAATCATGAAGCAGAATGTTATAATGTACCTTTCTTCTCCAAACTGCACTAAGCAGTGTTTATCAAAAGGAAGAGACATAGGTACAAACAGTTCTCTGTTAGAGAGACTCACACTTTATTGAGGTGACTTATAAAAGCATGGAAAAATCCATGATTTGTTTTATTCTGCATAGGGCCCTTGGTCAGGATTTTCATGTCTGGAGTATGCAGACCACAGAATGAAGAGAAGGAAATGTTTCACAGATGGTACCAGAGGCGGTATGCTACCTTTTACTGGCTGACAGCCTGAGGGTAATGACATTTAGTTAGCATATCACAGCTGTCCGTTAGTTGCTCTGGGTTATCTCATTAAAGTGTGAGTCTGATCTACAGTATGATATTCATCCTATGTTTGTAGGAACCATGTGAATGTACTATTAGTGAAACAGCTCTGCCTTCCGTGTAAACCACCCTAAAAATGGAGCAAGGGTAGAAGTTTAAAAGCCTTCTAATTTCCCGGACATCCCCTTTTTTTTTTTTTTTAAATAAATTGCATTTACAGAATCTTACATAGAGATGCCAGTGTAAAACCACCCCCAAACAAGCAGTCTGTTCAATCCCCTTCCTTCTCACTTCCCTCAAACAAGCGCACACTTTCCTTAGCCAAAGGTGTCCAGATGTTTCCACTCAAAATAATGGCCAACTTGGCTAATGGCAATAACACATGGATTATATAATAAGTATGTACAGAGCCACTGAGTATGGAAATCTGTGATTGATTCCCCTTTCACGCAGGGAGGATAACTAAACCCACTCTAAGAACAGAGAGGGAGAGTGCTCTCTTGGGAAAGAGATTCCCATTTCTTCTAGCAGCAACAGGTTCCCAAACAGCAGTTTCTGGTTTGGAAGTAACAGGAGTGACTGAAAGCACTAGCACTGACGCTACAGGTATTCACGCTCTGCACGCCATCTCTGGACTGATCCCCCTCCTCTCCTTTCCTCCATAAAAAGGAGAAGTCTGTCTTCAACACAGCAGTGGGAGTGCCAAAAGCATCAGAGACCTGGCTCTGGACCCAGCCTCCTTTCCCACTCTACAGTCTTCCAGCAAACCAAAAAAAAAATAATATATATATATATATATTATATATATATGTACACACAAACAAGATAAAAAGGAAAGGGGGGGCAATAGATGGAAAAGAAGAGTCCCACAATCCAGTGGTACATCCTAGAGCTCTGATCCTCCGAGCAGTGTTCCATGCCTTAAACTCCAAAGTGCATGGCTTCTCCAGTCCTACCAGCATCAGTTCACCAAGCATGTGCGGGTCTGTGTAGGGGAAGATTAGCACTGTCTCTCTTTCCCATTCCTTCCAGGCTGGAGCTTTAATTTGAAGTGGCAGTGATGGGTTTATCCAGTTCAAGGTCAAGGCTGGAACAACTGGGTTGCAAGCTGCTGTAGCAAGATTTGCAGACTCTGCTGGGTTCAAAGAGCTGTTGACTAGGAACTGGCACCTTCTGGTTACAGCAACTGGAACAAAAGACATTTCCACAATTCCTTGAAGCAGGAACAAGAAGAGGAGAGAGAAATGGAAAAAAATTAGAAGCATATTAACACAGCTACTCATGTTTTAACCTGACACTACCTCTTAATAAGTGCCTGTGAAAGTGGCTAGCCTGGGAGACTGCACTTGTATTTTTTAAGTAACAGAGCACAGGCAGAAACAGGGCAAGCTTCCCCACCCCACACCCATGTTGCAGCACTGATGGGACCAGCTCTATAGCTAAGGTAGAGATTGAAAGCTAAATACTTTTACCTGTTATGTACCAAAATTAACATATTCAGCTGCATATCTGCAGTTTTTGGCACTTATGCAGAGTTTTCAATTCAGCTTTGCATACTGCCACTAAACATACTCAGTATGGCTCTGGTCTGCCTAGGCAGCTGTGCAGTGAAACAGATTTGCCCATGTATACCCCCAAGGCAAGGTAAGTCACAGGATTTTACCCGCAGAAAAAAAATGAGGATCTGGTATTTGAGGCTGGACCCAACGACAAGGACACTTATCCAGGAAGCCCCAGTTTCTAGGTCTCCCTCACACATGGGGTTTGAATCTGTGGCTCTGCTTCCTGGCACCAGTGTGGCACAGGCAAGTCTATATGCACAGCTTTCTCCAGCACTTCTCTTGGAGCTGGGCACAGCTAGCCCAGAGAGGGAGTTATATTGAACCAGAAGCAAAAGTGTAAGACAGAGCATGTGGTTCACTGAGATGACTGCTGCTTGGGAATGAAGGGCAGTCAGGGCAGCTGAAGGCTGAGCTGAGTGCTGTCCCTGCTCCTAAAGGGGCAAAACCTGTCTAATACTGTTTATACAGTCTAGCCAATGAAATGAAAAGTGCAGTCTGGCCAGCTTCAGGAGGAGGGCTGGAGAAGTGGCTAAGTCATGCCTACAGAAGGCCTGAACAATTTTCTGGGGATTAGGAGATGTAGGTTCAAACTCCTTCTGGCTACGGGGGACATAAAACCTAGGTCTTCTGCTCCCAGGGCAGATGCTCTAACTATTAAGCTACAGGGCTAAGCGGCTGAAGGTCCCTCATCCCCCTCCATTTTACCTCGTGTGGTGCTCATCCAGGTTGATTCTGTCACCCATTTTGCTCTGTGGTGAATGAGAATCCCAAATGGGACTGCAGTTACGTGACAGTGGACTGCACATTTAGGCCTCACTTTCCACTTGTAATTCAATCCCTGGCCTCTCTTGCTGAGTGTTTTAGGTGCCTAAATCCTACTTTCAAAGGGCCTTAGATGCCTAAATCACTGACGCTCTTTTGAAAATGTTACTTAGTTCTCAGTGTGTGTCCTGGGACCCTGGCTGAGGGCCCGGGCACAAGAATAAGTTACCACAAAGTAAAAAAGCACAGGATTTACAGCACAGCAGCTGCTTTATGGTAACTGCTCGCAGGCATGCTCTCAGGTAAGAGAAAGCTAACCTCTGTCTGGCTGCTCCTTGATGAAAGAGAAGTAAGTTACTGCAAGTTAACTTTTGTGTACCACTGGATAGGAGAGAGGACAAACAGGTATGTGGAATAACTGCCATGTTGTAAACTCCTGCCCATATTTACCTTGCAGTAACTTGTTTGTGGTCCCACAACCTTAAACTCTCACCTAGTGCAAGCTGGCAAAAAGGCTGCTGAAGGGCTCTTACTTCGTTAACTAATAATGTGATCCAGGTCTGAACAGTGGCTTAACAGAAAAAGGCTTTGGGGTTGCTTTACTTGTCTAAAACTGCCTGCTTGGTAAGGATAAGTACCTGGGGGTAACTGGGCCTTTTCCTCCAGCTTCTTACAAGTACATTCTTTAGAAAATCAAAGTACAAGACAAACAGAAAGTCATAATAAAATTAAAAAACTGTGGTCCTCCCAGTTCCTGCATGATACAATAAATGTGTGTACAGTAGCTCAGTGGAAGCACGGCAGCCCCACACTTCTACATAGAGAAAATGTATGAAAGTCAACACGAATCATGCAAAGCCATGAGATGAGCAGCCACGTATCTATCCCATGCTTAGAAAGTGACAGCGACTATGCAGCACAATGAACAGTCTTATACGCAGTCTTGTCAGGTGTCAGTTGGCGGAGGCACACTGGCTCATGCACCTCAAGGGAGCTGTGGATAAGATTTAAATCTGGAAAATGACTGAAATTCTTCTCCCCCACGCCCCCGCAAAGCCTGGCTCTGATCAAGTGAAGCTGACGAGAACTCCAGTTCACAACCCTGCCCTCGAAGACTAGGAAGGCATTATTAAGGCTTTAGCACTGAACTTCAGGGATCTGAATTCTTCATGTTCGACTCAGAAACTCCCAGGGTTTATCTGCTTGGCTGAAACCTTTCTCATTAACTCCGGTGGGAAACTGTTGCTGCTGCCAAGAGATTTCTGCTAGGAAGAAAAGTCTACACGTAGCAATCTTGATTCATCTTTTGAGATTACCAGATGTCGGTCACTAATGGAGTGACAGTCAGCAAAGGGAAATCCCATTTTTACCTCCTTGAGCCAGCCTCTGGTCTTACTCTCAGCACTAGCAAACTCAATGATGGCTATAGATTTGTATGGTGGTTTTGACACTGCCTCATGGATGCCATCAAAAACAGCTGGAGTGAAAATGACTTAATGCAATATAATACAGAAAAGCCCTGCAGGAAAGCAGTTCAGGTATCCTACAGTCCTGCTGAAGCAATAAGT